CAAGATGTTTGCTTTATACCGGTTGGCGGTTTTGCAGATCCGTCCAGCGCATTTGAGGCCGAATGCAGCCCACCATCGGCATCCATCGCGTCATCCGAGCCGTTTTTGTCACCGGGAAATTTTTCATTCCGCACGGATAACCTGACGAAAACAGAATGCCTGTCTTACGTTGCTACGCAGGACAACACCACGGTCTGCAGTCCAGTCTTATCACGAGCCCGTTGCGACAAGGACCCCCGCGGAATGTTCGCGATTTCCTTGACCTATGTCAAGGTGCAGTGCTATCGTGATGGGACGCGCACCGCCCTCGCCCGCGTGACCCACAACATCCACCATATCAGTCCCGACCGTGCGGTAGTCCTCAACCTGAACGAACGTGCCGATGCAGAAGATCCGATTCATTCTGACGTCATGGAACCGGTGCGACAACAGATAGTGGAGGTAGGGGTGATGCGCTGCGTCACGCCGGATATTACGGCTAAGTTCCATGCTGCCGGGACCTTGGATAATTTAATCGCGCTGCAGCTGGAGCGTTGCCGGAATCTGGTAATTGAAAAGCAACATTTTGCCGGGATGCGGAACATCCGGATGATCCGTTTCTCCTCCTCCACGATCGCCAAGATGGAAGCCTACACCTTCACGGATCTGTTGCGGCTGGATAGTCTGATGGTGGAGGATGGGCTGGGTCACGAAATGAGGAAACTACAGCCGGATGCAGATTCCAGCGAGGAAATCCGCCCGGCATTCTTAACCTTGGCAGACTTTGTTGCCGTGCGCCGTCTGCACTGTGACTGCTCGTTCGCCTGGTTCCGCAACTTTCTCAGGCGCAAGCCGCATTTGACCGCTGTAAAAGGAAAAGGCGCAGTGGCGGCAATCGGGAGCTATATGACATCGTTGGTCGTCAGTGAGCCTGAGTGGCCGAATGTCCTCAGTGTGGATTGCTCCCGTGACCTGACCTTCGACAACATTCGGGCTGGTATGCAGTTTTCCTACAATACGTCGTGCTATACGTCAGCGCATTGTTAAGTGCCTAAGGCCCTGTGGGAGCAAGGCCGTTTCTCCACAGGGATCTGAACGCACATCAACTACACTAAATATTAAATAAAAATTATTTGTCCATTCAATATTGAGTTTGAATTAACCAACAAAATCAGCATAACAATATTGCTTGTATTTTATGCGCGAATGGTCTGATTTCCATGACATCGGTGATATATTTCTCTACAATCAATAAAATGGGGTTAAAACATTGTGAGAGCCGGTACACACATTTATCAAAATGAAAACGAATGTCGTTTTAATATTTTGGATAACATGGATAATGAATGTCAATCATGGTTATTTCATATTTGCGAAAAAAAGTAGAATTCTCGGTCAAGAAAGTCATTACTGCCCGAAATACGCGAGAATTAACATGCACGCATTTAATCAGGTTATCTTTGCATCCACGGCAAGTTTGGAGCAAAAATAAGTTAATATGATGGGCGTGGAGATGCACAAAATAATACCGATGCACTAGCAGCCAGCACAACAGTTTGATAAGAACTACATACGTAATACGTATACTCGCGTACGAACAAAACACATCACAGAACAACAATAATAATTATTTATAGACTATAGTTATGTCGATACATAGGCATCACAACAATGTGGTGCAGTGTCTGCTGGTACATAGTGATCCCTAATTTGTGAAGGCTTTGGAAGTCCGCGAAAGCAAGTTCCGTAAATATCGAGTTATTAATTACTGAAATATTTTGTAGCGATACAGATTGTGCCGATAGCAGTAGAATAAATTGCATTCTTTACCGGTTGACTATTGGGTTCGTGGAAACTAATGTCCCGATTTTCCTATATTTTACCGAACAAATCTTCAGTTATCTTGAAACCTTGGATTATCTTGGGTAACCATTATCTTGCAGTTATTATCTTTATTAACAATTATTTTGCTTCCCCGACATCTTGCTAATTAGTTCTGGCTCCGCGCCTTCCGCACTATCTGTACTTGTTTCGTGGTTATGCACTTCTTGCTCGTCAGCTCGCCGAATTTTGCTTCGTGTGTTTGCTAATAAACTGTTGGGATGACATTAACCGCCATTCGATGTTCGTGCATCGAATGGCGGTTAATATCTGTGTGCGTTCATTTCGTGCGCTATTGTTTATCCTACATTTCTTGGCAGTCAAAGCTGTTTCCCAATTTTGTGGTGCCATTTAACACATACATACTCGATTTGGTAAAACGATTATTGTCATAACTAGTCGGCTAACAGGCAGAATGAAGGGTAATGTCGAACACTAATGCGATGGCAAGCAGATTGGACCGGATATCGCTGGCTATGCGGAAAGTATAAGGAAGAAGCCGCTTCCTCTGAAAGTGTACGTTTACTACAATGGACTTCATAAATGTAGTTACACTTAAAGCCGATAGCGCTATGCATACGGTGGCTATGTGTAACGGTGTAACCACATTTATGAAGTCCACTGTACAGATAAGCGGTGAAGAGTTTTGCTCCAGCTTTCAATGCGTTTGGTCATGTCAGTGTGATCGTTATAAAATCGCTCGATAGCTATCTGCAGTTATACTGATATCGGACAAAAATGTAGAAAACGCGACAGTTTGCAGCGCCAGACGAGCCAGGGTTGCTTGTAGCTGGAAGGGGAAATTTAAGATGGCGCTATAATATGTTTGACTGACATAGACTGCAGCAGCTTTTATTATGTACGGGTAGATGCAGATCAGACGGTCAAAGTCAAACAAGAAAACGGAATTGTGGCTAACATGGCAGTTTTGCTGTCGCCTGGGATTTAAGTTTGAAATGTAGGCGCTTCCGTATCAACTATGAACATCGGTGACCCCTGATACTTGCCAGTATGAAAACATGCCATTTTTCATAGAATTTTCTGGTGCGGCACTTAGACAATCGTTTCCAGTCGATCTGCTTTATGGTGATGAAACACCAGTAATGGCTCCTAGGTACCTAGATGCATTTCTGGCTGCACCAAGGGTGGGTCTCACTTTCAAAGCAAACCTATTTACGATCGAGGTGGCTTCGCGTACCGTAGCTGTAAAAGGCGTGGCCACAGCATACAGCCACCTCGTACGGTAGAGTTGCTGTAACGTAACTGATTCGCTTTGGTTCTGTGACGCTCCCTAAGTTAGTTCTGAAATATTCATTTAAAATATTTAAATTTTTAGTGTGACACTATAGCCACCCTTAACACCCCGTTTTTTATAGGCAGCCCCTTTTCCGCACCCCGTTAATTATAGGCTCATTTTTTTCAGTTTATTAATTAAGTTTTCTGACACCCAGTTTTTTATAGGCACCCCTTTTATAGGCATTTTTACGTAACCTAATTATATCGAATGTGACTGCGATTTTTATTGTTTTTTTTTCGATTAACTTGTCGCCGCATGGTGGCGGTACACAGATTCAGAAACGAGCCAGTAGTCAACCTGGCCGAAGTAATTACGCGTCACGCTCAGACAATAGGAATTAGGAACCGTTTCCGCTTTTCAGAGGTTCGCTCACTGATACCGAGCTGTTTGAGGACAACGATCCTGCAGTTGGTATTGCCCACTCAATCACCGTCAGCGATATGACGAAGCTAGAAAATCATGCAAAGGAGCGATATCAGAGCTGGCCAAACTACCACCGAGCAGGTTCGATGAAGAAATCATCAGGTTTCGTGCTTCGTGAAACGCTTTGTGCGATTTTACAACAGCCTAAACAGTGACCTTTCACCACACTTCCTTCTCCAGTTATCCATGTTGCGGGGATCGCCGTGGACGAAACCGTGGTTGCAAAAGCCGAAGCCGAGCGCATATGGCTTGCGGAAATGCATGAAAAGGAAAAGATCGTGAGTTGTCCTGAGAAGACTGGGCGAAAGCCAATCAATGAACTGGCTAAGAAAAGCGTGGATATACGCGCAACGGCCGAGCAGGCGGTTGTTATACGGTCCATGTTATCTGATCAGTCTAACAGACCCATTGTTAAGTGGAGGGCTTAAAACCATTCATGATTTGGCGTCATTAGATAAATTATAAAAAAATAAAAAAGGGGGGTCTATAAAAACACGACAACGGAGTGTTGTTATTTAATTAATAGCAGAAAACGGTGGTTATAATAAAAGGGTGCGAAAAGGGGTGGCTATAAATAACGACGGTGAAAAGGGGTGTCTATATGTAGTGATTTCCAGATTTTTAACCCCATTGAGATGTTCACAGGAGCCTTCCTGGTAGCAATTTCTGCTAGAATCGTCAACGTCGGTCAAATTTTTAACTGCAGTTAATAGTCCTGATACTAGATAGGGCGTTTCCTCTTGTAATTTGCACTGTTTCGCTGCCACCTAACTCTACACATCTCGGATTACCGCCGTATTTTGTTGTCTTCTTTGATTAATCCTTGGAAACAATATTATAACAAAAACTGAAAATTTAATATGAATTTAGCAATTGAAAAGCTGTGGTCTGAGAGCAGTAAAATATTGGCTAGAATTTGGAAGAGTTGTATTCAATTTTGGTCGGCAGACGCGGCAGACAAAAACGCGAAATCTGAACACTAAAATATTTATCGGAAATCTGGCATAATTATCTACAGAGCAGTATAGCCTAATAACACGCAATTATTATTTTGTTGAAGACCGAAGGTCAGGATTTTCCTAGGGTTGCGCAAACGAACATCACACGGAAGTAAGCTATGGTAAAATCTGACTGCTAGGCGATGGTAGAAGGTGATACGAAGCGTCTACATTTGCAACTCAAATGCAGCAACGCAGTCTCAATGTTAACTAGCCACATTTCTTCTAGCTTGTTTGACTTTGAACGTCTGCAATCACAATACAGTGGATATCATTTTGGAGTTAACACCCACAACCGATAACGATATGAGCACGGCTGGGTATTTGTTAACACCATTTTGCCGTCCACAGCATCTGATCACAAAAGTAGTGGAAACACAATAAATAGCTGCGAAAACGATCGAAATGATTAAACTGATCTTGAGGTATAAGAACCTTAAAAAGCCGGCGGAGTCATTTAGTGCAACTGGTTTCTGGATAACCCATACGGTGTACACTCTCGCTCATTTGCCGACTTGTCATCGCGGCAACACTTTCGAAACTTCCGACAATACAGAACGTCGAAATTCCCTCATAGCCAGCCGCCAGGGTAACCATCTAACAAGCAGTATGAATCATCTGCCCTACCTCCTTACCTTCGCGATACTGTTGAGCGCAGCGTTTGTGGGTGCGTATGTATAACCTATTACTATCTTTTTACGTGAAATGTGCCGGATTGTATTGTAGCCTCCCAATCGAGCTAAGCCACAGAACACGAGAAAATAGTGGATTCCATTTAACGTTCTTCAATTAAAAAATCCTTTACGTCTTTACAGACGCAGAGCCGTCCAGCAAACTCGAAGTCGAGTGCAATCAACCAACCGCATCCACTGCACCGCCGGAACCTTCACCTGCGCCAGAGAATGTCTCCTTCCGCACGGATAATGTGACGCGAGAAGAATGTCTGGCCTACTTTGCTTTGTGGACCAGAGCGACGTCACTCTGCAGCCCGGTCCAAGCACAAGTCCATTGCGATAGCGACCCGCGCGGAATATTCGCCATATCCAAGACGTATATCCAGGCGCAGTGTTTGAGGGGCGATCGCACTGACGCCGGCCGCCTTACGAGCAACGTCCACCGGATCAGCCCCGGTCGCGCCGTGACCCTACTGCTGGAAGATCACACCGTCGCCCAGGAGAACCCCGTACATCATGACGTCATCGAGCCAGTTCGTCAGCAGTTAGTTCAACTGACCGTCCTACGCTGCGTCACGCCGAACATCACGGCCACGATCTACGCTGTCGGGATGTTGCCGCGGCTGGTAGCGCTGAAACTGGACGGCTGCCGGCATTTGGTTATCGAAAAAGAGCATTTTTCCCGGATGCGCAACGTTCAAATGATCCACTTGTCCTCGTCCACCATCGCCCGGTTAGAAGTGTACACCTTCACGGATCTGCCGCGGCTGGACAGTCTCACCTTTGAAGACGGACTGGGTGCGGAATTTAAGCAGTTACAGGATGGTGATTCCAGTGAAGAGGTCCTCCCAGTAATCAGCCAAGCTGAGATTGACGCTGTACGCCGTGTACACTGCGACTGCTCGTTCGCGTGGTTCCGCAACTTCCTCCAGCGCAAGCCGCACTTGACAGCCGTTAAGGAGAAAGGCCAAGTAGTCACAATTGGAAGCTATAAGACATCGTACGTTGACAAGTATGACGTCCTCAGTGTGGATTGTGCCCGTAGTCTGACGTACGATAATATACGTGTGGGTACCCAGTTTTCGTACAACTCTACGTGCTATGATGCGTCCCAGTGCTAAGGGTCTGGATAAAGTCTGCGATCACCGTGGTAATTATCCAATTAAAAATTGGTGAAAAATTGTAAACGATAGAGTAAGGACCCAAAATTGTTTGACTGTTGATTATTGAGGGATAGTTATTGGTGCAATCATACAGCATGAAAACGCTTCTTGCATTCCGTCAGCAAGTTGTTATATATGACATCGATAATAACTTTACAACTGCCGTACTTCTATTGTCATTGCTTTCACTGCCTTGCTCCATTCATAAATGTGTTATTTGTTTTACAGTTTTACAACTTCTACTCACTTTTACTTGAGTGGAGTGGATGTGGTCAGCCGGCACACGCAAATACTCATTAAGACGTATGAAATAAAATTAATGGTACTTATTTACTTAATCCTTATCTTTTATGTAGGTTTAACTGTTCGTCTAATCCGTTTCAACACGATATTTTAGGACATGTGTTATAGCTGTCAATAAAGTTATTATTTCGACTTAGAAATTTCACGAATTGCAATAAATACAAAAACAGAAAGGCGGTTGCTATTCCTCCTCTGTTTGAAAATTTCATAATACAGCAACAGCAAATAGTATACGACCGGACGACATCCAGCTAAATTGAGCTAATCACCTTGTTGATGAAATTGTAGATGCTCAAAGAGCAGATTTTAAAGTACATATAAAAACCGCATATATATGACATAAATATACGTATAAAATTAATATACTGAATTACAATAAAAATAATGGATAGCGACGAGTGGTTAAGAATTACAATTAGCCGTAAATGCTGCAAAAACAAACCGAATGACACAATTACTTCAACAGACACGGATTGCCGATGTCGCCCACGGTTATTTGCGATAAAAAAATATTGAATTCTCGGCCACATGTGTCATACGCCTCAAGCGGAATCGCAAACTTTGACACAACATTACTTGCAATTGGTACCAAGCGTGCTAAAGATGTTGAATTGATAAAATACTAAAAATAGTACATACGTTTGGCGGTTTCTTTGCCCGATAAATCTCTCGATATACCCGGCCAAACTGTTTTTCAAAGCTGCCAATTGGATTGATTTTCCTTTGACAATTCCGATTCTACCTACAAACCAACTTCAATTCTAATTTGCAATTATTTTATTCTCCGTAGTATTCCGTACTTCCCAGAGTCGTTCAGCATATAAGTAATTACATATTACTAAGCCAATGTGATGGCCAGTCAGTTGATAGTCAGGATGGAGAATGTCAGCGCCAACGAGACATACTGTCCTTGGCCCGAACGGCATTTCCAGTATGTTTGGGAATCGACGGGATTTAAATACACGGAATACATATTACATCCCATTTGGCTGTTTATCTGCACCGTCGGAAATATTCTTACCATTATGTTGCTAGGCCGCATGCACACGTTTCAGACGACGTTCATCACTGCTATTGCCTACTTCGACCTGCTCACGATGTACGTACAACAGAACAGAAGAGGAAGATGCTCCGTTTCACAGTCAAGTGTAATCCTGTTCAAACTCAGTGCCGGCGATTCATGCGCATTAAATATGCTCCTCTTGGCGCGCCGTTTCTTGGTTTTATTATGAATTTCATGAACCGCGACAGATTTCCAGTTTTTCACTCCAACATTTTACACAACAATCTAAACAAATACATAATTACACTGTTTTTTTAACCAGGTGGGGATGGATTGTGCTGTCGCTACAAGTAAGAAAATGAGCCGAGATCTTTGGTGGCCACCACGACGGTTGATATCGCAGTCATTTCATATCAATTCTATCAATTTACAGGTCTACGTCGGCTACAGCAGCGCAGGCGATGACCTTCTACCATCCCGCGCCTATTTCAACATCACCTCCGTACCTACCCGCGCTGTGCTGGTAACCAGTGAGTTTCTGGGAAATGTCGGCAGCGGATGTTCTGATTGGTAATTATGCAGTATATCATTTCGCTATGTACCAGTGTTAACATGCTCTAGCTCGATGTCAGCGTTTTGCAGGGTGCTAGCCTTGTTCAGCGTAGCGCGACTGTTGTACGCGATGGACCCTTTTCGACCGCGAGCAGTGTGCACAGCAAAGGCGCGTGCAGCGGTTTTATGTCTGATACCACCCGCCGTTATGTGCTCCATTTTTCCGCTGATCGAATTTGCTTACACGCACGATTATGGGTTGAAACCGCCACCTGACTGGATCCGCGAGTGGAAGCAGGTCTGGTACATGGGAATGGTAAGGAAAATACCCGAAACAAATTTCACGAATTGGAATTTCTAGTGCATCCACTGACATTTTGGTTGTCACGCACCAATAAAAAATTAAAAAAACTACACGTATTTTAATATTCCAGAGAGGTGACATACTCTGTAGATCACGTTTTCTTTTTTTACACAATTTGATTTTTTACTATACGGTTATCACAAGGTACTACAGTTTCAACTTACAATTTATTGCTGATGACTGGCTTTTTTAATACAGACCATTAGCGGATTGGTGACCTTTGCAGTCATCTTATTGGCCAATGTCTTCGCTGCAGTTATGTTGAGACGCCATTCAGGGTTCCCGCACGAAAACGCTAACCAGCCGCTCCCTGCAGTCAGCTCGCACAAATTCGTTTTACGAGTGAAACGCCGGCATGGACTGCTGACGGTGCGTGCGCTGGATAACGATGTGACTGTCTGCATCACAATGCGGCTCCTAACAGCATCGGTTATCTTGTATTTTGTCACCACCATTCCGTACATGTCGTGGTATCTGCTGACGAAACTGGAGCGGCAGTGCCGCATACACATCTCGGATCATCAGTATGCCGTGCTAGTGGCCTTCTTCCTACAGTTCTCCTACATGAAATATTCGCTGAATTTCATCCTCTACTGCGGCATGAGCCGGACGTTTCTGAAGCATTTCCTGGCGACAGTGGCCAGTTTCTGGAGAAATCTGGCTGGACGGTGGACGATCTCCCGTTGTGCTGCGAGATTGGACGGGAGTCCGAACGAAGACACCGCAAGAACCAATCGCCGCGACACTGACGTAACATTTTTGAGTATTCATCGAGACAGCGTGCACAAATCGGAGACCTCGACAGACGAAACCGGCCATCTGTAAAGTGTGTACTGTGTACCATCCTGACAGCATTGCGATTGTTTCTTCCTTGGACAGCTGTGTACAGTGTTTCTTTTTTTCCATGTGAATCAAAAAGAAAATTGATTTAGCCATGTTTAAATTCCCACGCTAGATGGCGATCCTAGCCCTTGATGGGTAACCTGCCTTTTTGTAGTAAACAATTGTTTCCTATGCGCTCTAGTATTTTAGAAAGGCGTAGCGCAGCCATGACTCATGAATTATAGCGCACAGACAAAGTAACGGGATAAAAAGGGCTTACTGGCATTTCAAAGTACTATTTACCAAGCACTTGTACAACTTCGGCCTGTGTACTTAACACATGGTGTCCATCACTTACTCGTGGAAGTAGCTAGTACGCAAACGTGCACCCTGTCCCCATTGACGACAGGGGCGAGACGTTTAACGACGCACATCAGTCTAATGTAAACTGAAAAATCATAACTGTTTGCTTTTAGGTATTGAGAAATTCTACGTTATTAAATTTTAGCAGTGGACATTAAGAACTTGGTTTTTTAACAATTATTTAATAAGCTTCCCCATTTTCCTGTGTAGGTCGACAGTTAATGCAACCCCATCTACAAGGAGGAATACAACTACAACTCGTACGACAACAAGCAATCCTACGGTTATGACTCTTACAAGGCGTCCAGCTACAAATCGAGTTACAACAGCTACGATAACAAGTACGACAATAAATACAACAGCTACAAATACAAAGACAGCAGCAACTATGAGAGCTAGGATTGAACTTTGTTTAATGCATTAAAACCTTGAAAGGCATCGGGCTTGAACCTTTTAATTGCCAAAACATGTGCCACCACAATTGCAGTACATGTTACATACGCGTATGGGTGCAGCAGGCATGTAATGCTGGTACGCTCAATAGATTTCCAGAGGGCTACATGGACTGTCGCTAGCTGGATTTCTTTTGTGGTGACATAACACTTCAGAAACAAGCGTGCACATTGTTGACAGAACCAGAGGACGTCGTCGCAGGCTGATCAAGCAGGTTTGAATTGTGCGTGGTCTTCGACACACTTAACCAGTGTGTGGCCAATTCGGATTTGCCTTTGATGCAAACAATTCCTCGCAGTTCCCGGGTGAACTGCGCTAATTCCTGCAGTCGATATTGGCTGTCGCCGCTCACGTGAACGCGGCCAGGTAAGCCGTGACTGCACATTATTATTATTATTTCTTCGTGGAGCAGGTAGCCCATTTCCGGCTAGGGTGACATACTAGCATGGGATTTTAAACCTGGCCAAACAGTAACTGCACAGAGAAATTCCCAGCACGCTTAAACAAAATTTACACTGCGCAACGCATGCTTAAACGCACTAACAGATCGAACACTAAAAATATCAGAAAAATTAGAATCCACGAAAAATTTCTACATTTTATTAAGCTTCCAAGCCAAGGTTGTTTCGCCAACTTTTTTCTTTGCTTTCGCCTTGATTATGGTCCGGTTTCCTTTCCGAAGATTGTACGGTTTCACTTCCTCTTTTAATTCCACCATCTCGCTGATGTACTGCGGCACATGGAATTTTTCCGGATGCATGATTTTGTACAACCACGTCGCTTCGTTTTGTCTCCATCTTGTGAACAGAGAAAGGATCCCGTGCTTGGTCATGAACGATTCCGTGGATATTCCAGAGTAGTTTGCAGCCGCTCGCAGGCCGCTACGATGCATGGCGGCCAATTTGTCCCGCAAGCGCACAGATGCCCCGCTCCACACTGTAGAGCAGTAGTCCAGATGAGACTGGACAAAGGCATAGAAAAGCGCAATGCGTTGGGATGTTGGCAGGCCAACTTTCACACGATTTAACAGTGATATGCCGTACCGAACACTCTTTTGGACCTTTTTAACATGGTCAGTCCAACCGAGATGTTCATCCAGCATCACTCCAAGGTGTTTCACTGACTTTTCTGGTTGCAACTGATGACCGTTCAGCGATACGTTAACGTTACTTTCGCAGTTGCGAGCTGAACTTACCATCAATAATTTCGATTTTTTTTCATTGACATATAAACGGTTAGCTTTTAGCCAGTCACAGATGTCCGGTAGTGCATCCGTTAGTATTTTTGCTGCTTCTGTTTTCGAGTTAGCAACTGCATAGCAGATGGTGTCGTCAGCAAAACTTTCTAACTGGACATTTAGTAATCGCAATTTCAAAAGCTCGTTGATATATATCGTGAATAAAATAGGACCAAGTATGGACCCTTGCGGAACGCCGGCCATAACGTTTTCCCAAGAGGAAAATTTATTGCCATGGTGTACGCGTTGCGAGCGGCCGGTCAGGTACGAATAAAACCATGTTAACGCTGAAGTTTTCGCTCCGATATCACGAAGTTTCTCCAGCATAGTTAGGTGGCACACTGACGGTAAAGCTCGCTTTAAGTCAAGAAAAACTACTGCAACGCATTGTTTGTTATCAACCGCCTTTTTCCATGCCTCCGTCACTTTCAACAGTAGCGTCTCGCAAGAATGGCCGTTTCGAAAACCAGACTGGTTCGGTGCAAGAATGCCTTCGTTCTTCAAAAATTTGTTCAGTTGCAATTGGGCACATTTTTCAAATAATTTCGACAAGTTACATAAAAGCGATATTGGCCGAAATTCATCCGCTGTTGCCGGATGAGTGCATTTATGCAATGCGATTACATCCGCGATCTTAAAAATTGATGGAAAGATACTTTTTTTGAAACACTGATTTATTAAATGGGTCATGGGTTCAACAAGTATGGGCAAAATTTCTGATAAGAGCCTATGGGGAATTCCTTTCGGTCCCGCGCATATCCTCTTAGTAAGAATTTTGCCGAACATGTCAACCACCCCGTCCGGGGTAACCTGGTCCGAATTCAAAAGTCGCCGTGTCAGCCTCCTTTGGGATGACAGCTACGGGGTGCCGTTCACCATGCTCCCCCATTGTAGCAAAATGCGTATTCAATGTATTCAAATCCACGCCCACATTACCGCTTTGGTTTTTCTTTCCCCGCAAGCGATTAATTTTGCGCCACATCGCTTTAGAATTTTGCGCATTTTTTTTCAAAATATTCCTGTTTCGCGTTCTTGATTGCAGTAAACAAATCTCGTTTCAAATTTTTGAACTGTCGATTATTACTTTCATACTCGGAAGCACTTTTCGACATTTTTCTTCTTTTGTATGCGAGATTTTTATTTTTTATTAAACGTCTGATGTGACTGTTAATCCAAGGTGCGCTGCTGTTTGAAGCTCTTTTCGATCGCAACGGATAGCACCTCTCAATTATATCAGCCAAACCACCAACAACATTCGAAACTTCTTCGTCAACGTCAGGATAATCCACGTAATTTACATACTGCTTCATAAACGAATACTTGACTCTTAAAAGACTGACTACTAGTCGCTTTCCAGTCTCTATAATAAACCACTCTGTGCTCCGGTTGCGCACACTGAAATGCAGAGACCGTTTTGCACAGCTTGTGATCCGAAAAACTTATATCTGACGGCTGGCACGATGTATAAGAAATCTTAGGATTGCATAAAATTACATCAATTTTGCTGGACGATGTAAATAATCGTCATCGATGCCATATTTGTTGTGTCCCAAGGCTGAATACATTGCAAAAAATCAGAAAATATTAAAAGCAGAAATGTACAGAGACTCGTACAAACAGTAACGCGGTCGTTTAAGTCCCATTAAACTAGCCGCGCAGGCACCTACAATCAGATATCCTATTTGATTGCTTCGTGCTAACCGATGCTCATATCTGACCGGAGTGAAGGCCGCTCTTCAAGGACAGAGTCTGTTCAGGATTCAATCCGGTTTCCATCTGCATTAGTGTACTTGCAAAGGTGGCGATACGGTGGACATGGTCTTTGCCAATGCGCATCGGTACGTACACCACTGGCCACCTGTAATACTACCTGTATAGATAAATTATGGAACTGCGCGGAAGCGCTGCTGACCATAAACGAATCCCCAATGGCTTTTACTTTGTACACATCACACTGCGTTGACAGCATGTCAATGTACGATTCTGTGTGGCCCACTGTAGTGTATGCCATAGCAACACTCATGATGTTGTCCTCTGTAATATTAATTGCTCAGTTGAATAGCGTGCTGAAAGTCTAAATTAATAAATCGAATTAGCGTACACGACAGTGGCGTGAATGGATAGAGAATTCTGAGTTACGGTCAGATTGGAAAGGGGAATTGTTATACCATAACGCACTGCACCATGCCTACGACGAGATCGCAGACAGCTCTGGCGACAGTTCCTTCGCATTCTGCGATGGAGCGATTTGATCCAGACAACATAGACTGGGGTGCATGGAAGCAGCGTTTTGACAACTTCGTCGTCCTGTTGGATGTACAGGATGATAAGAAAGTCAACTTACTGGTGGAAAGTTTGGAGCGCAAAGCCTTCGAATCCCTGTACCAAGTATGCTATCCGCAGAAGATTAAAGAGTTTACAGTGGAGCAGTTGATATACAAGCTGGATCGCTTGTACTTCAAGCAGACATCAAAACATTACGAAAGGTCACAATTCTTCCGTCTCACCCAGCAACAAGGAGAAAGCCTTGTTGAATACAGCAACCGCCTCCGGGCGAAGTCAATCAACTGTGAGTTTACTGGAACGATATTGGACGAGATGCTGCTAGCTGCTTTCCTGTGCGGAATCCAACGGGAGAAGACGCGACAGCACCTGTACAGCAGGGAGCCAACCAGCATAGAGGGAGCGCTGGCCGATGCGCAAAAGTTTGAAAGCAGAATGGAGGAGAAGGATGAAAGGGTGATGGCCGTAAGGGGCAAAGGACCGAAAGGGGTAACGTGCACAGGATGCGGAGGACGCCACCTCGTAAAAGATTGTTGGTACAAAAATATGACGTGTAGTAAGTGTGGCGTAAAGGGCCACTTACAAAGAATGTGTGGTGGAAAATCCAATTATGTTTATGAAGAACCGGATAATGTTAACGAGATAGTCAAGTACACCGATATTTTTGATTAACGAGCTGTTTTCCTTTTTTTTGAGAAAGGAAGGTGTAGTGTATGCTATAGCAACACTCATGATGTTGTACTCTGTAATATTAATTGCTCAGTTGAATAGCGCGCTGAAAGTCTAAATTAATAAATCGTATTAGCGTACACGACACCCACCAAG